CCGTGCACTTCAATGGAACATTGCAATGCTTCAATTCATTGGCTGATCTGCAAATGCCAACTGGCAGTATATAGAGCCAGAAAAATGATGTTCCATCATCCCCGAGTCCAAGGCTCTGCTGCTCCAAAGTCTTTTCCACTGCTCCAAAGTCTTTTCTGCTGCTCCGAAGTCTTAACATGGACTTCACTCCAGTCAATGAATATGGTCCAAGGTTGTGTCAACGTTGTAATGTCCAATTTGATGTGTCAGTGACTTTTGAATATATTCGCAGCAAGGATGGTTCAGGTTGAGCATGCTGTCCTCCCTGTGCAAAACATTATATTGATCGCAAAGCTGCGGAGCTGGCGCAAAACAATGCTGTGCATGGTATGGGTAATAACCAGCACTCAGGCATAGGTAAGAATTTCAACTTCACTTCCTAGTATTGGCAGCCCTTATCAGCTTCACCATTTATCTCAGATTTTACAAGCATGGGAGCATCGAGGGAGGCCCTTGTTAAAGCTACATCAGCAGCACAACGGGGCAGTGAGTAGCATTGATAGTCTCTGTTTGTTAAATCCACACTGACATGATTGCAGAATGATTGTTCCCAAGCCAGCACTTCAGTTCTGGGTCACCACAGATGCCTGGCAATCCAGGACAAATGCTTCCACCTCCTGCTCCAGTTTCATCCTGTAAGTGTACTTATGACTCCAAATTGATTGTTGCATTTCTGACGCGTACCAAGATAACTCACTATGTCATTCAAATGGCTATACAGCCAACCATCAATTCCACCACCAATACCGTAGCAAGATGCTTCGTGCAGCATCATCCAGTCGTGTTCAAATTGTCACAATCCGAGCTGCCCTTCATCACTTAAAGCCAGAAGGCAAGTCAGGCACTTTGCTCGTTGGGGTAGGTCTTAGCTTGTAATATGACGCACTTGTTGCTTTTACTGATTCAACATGAAGAACATCGAACGAGACATGCGTGTATCGTTGTCTACCACACAAACAGAACTTCGCTTGGATATAATCCGGCATCTCCAGTCACCATGGACAGAATGGTCATGCAAACATTCTCTCACCCTTGAGAGTCTCGAGATGCATAAATCACCCATGATGCTTCTCTTTGACCCGAGGCAGCCATTGTATGATCCTGACGCAGTGGTACTTCATGATTTCTTCCTTTGCTCTACAACCAAAGATTTGGTCCCAAAATTCTATGCCAGCACAAAGGTTGCTATTCTTCTCATTATGACACACGCACAGTATGAAAGTGTCCAACTCTGGAGGGAGCAAATTGATGAGTTGGTGGGTCTTCGTCATTAATACTTACGTCTTGCTAAATGCAGTGATTTTAGCACTGTGATGATGCCACTGAGATGAAGGACGTACAGACAAATTTGCACACATCACCACCTGTCTATGCAACTGATGAGGCAAGCAACACTACGCACTCTGAGTTACCAGTCCGTCCATTCCTACTATGATGTTGCATCAAATTAACTAACAAGGATTGAAGAGTCGACACCCGAAGAAGCCACGCAGCCCCAGTCACACTACCAGTAGCCCGACTAGCAGCCGAGCCCACAAACGTGTTAAGGAGGTATGTTCACTGTACTCCTGCATTGAACATGTATTTATATTGTTAATTTGAAAAGAATGATCATAATACTACTTACCAAACGCAGGGCATTGAGACTAACGACTCGGAGCAGGATCCAGAACAGTCTACCACCTCTCAATCTCTGTTGTCGATGTCAATGTCGATGTTGGCAGTAGAGACACATCTCCCCAGTCGCATCAGTAGCCTGTTACCTGCAACTCCACGGCTTTTCCTACCCAGTCAACAACAACTCGAGGCTGCCATGAAAGCTCAGGGAAGCATCCGAAAACAAGCTTCAGCCGTTTGTATGGTTTTGCAGCATTTCAACGTGGTATTTCACTAATACATGATTTATTCATATTCAGGCAAGTACAACTCGAACACGTTCCGAGTGTACCAAATTCGCTCCGTCAAGTTTCAAGACATCATCACAACTCCACTCGACGTCACGTCCTCCCCTTTCGACCTTGTCTCAATCTCCATAGACTCCAATGCAAAGTCAATGATAGGTACTGCCGGAAGCTTCAAAACATGCCATCCGGCTCTTTTGCATACTACTTCATTGAGTGCTACACCTGGGCCATCAACTTCGCAATCTTCCATTTTCACAGCAATGCACGTCGTAGCCAAGCGTGTCTTTTTCCGAAAACGTGACGGGAACTCCAAGCGTCAAAGGTTTTCCAAAGAAGATGAACTTGGGAGGACGCTCGATGAGGCCAACTGCCTATACTGGGCTACCTGTTTGATGTCTCTCATCTACATTTTTGTTGACGAAATGCTTCAGACGCAGACTGTAAAGCAGACTGTTGCAAACGAGATCCCTCGCCTCCGACTCGTCTATGCTGCAGTTGCTATCCCTGAAGACGTTTCGGACCGCGCTGGAGCAGCATACCTATTAGAAGAAAGAATTGAGGGCAAGTTTATCAAGTATATTAACAACAATTCTGCTGCTCCTGCTCATCATCTACGGGGCAAAGAGGAAAAAATAGGGTTGTTTCTATGCTTTGCCCAGCACGTGCAATATCAGCTCACAAATGAAGTCGTGTATCTGTCTAATTTCCAAGGTAGTAATCTCTCGCGCACTCACATTCATCACACTCTAACCAACTATTCAGGTTCTGGGGACCTCCTCACTGACTGTCAAGTTATGACAGGACCGTTCGTTGTATTCCCTTTGTCTTTGAGTAATGCTAAGTTGGTTACAGTGATTACATGACTAACTTCGGTGAAGGAAATTGCACCGAGGCATTTCGCACATTCAAAACAACTCATAAATGCAACGTCTTTTGTCGAGTGTTTGATTTGCAGCCCTTCATCATAGCTGAGCAAGGTTCGTACAATTTCCTAGCATCTATTCACGAAGTTGCTGATATTTCACTGCAGACTAGGCTCCAGGCTCTGTATATACCACTATTTTGAATGTGTATCCTTAAAGTAAACGAGGGCGTCGAGATTCTTCCCCGCTTTGTCCGACATGAAAATTTGAGATACGCGTTTGAGATCGTCGGAGCCGAGGGTGGGATCATCAAAATATATAGGAATCATCTTGTCGACGAGCGGCTGCAGATGGCAGCATTGTACCGCGCTTGTGCGAACCCAGTGTCGCAGAGTCCACTCTTCGGCACTGTGGCAGCGGTATCTTGTAAATAATATCGCTCGACAACATTTAGAGGCTTACCTCGACATCTCGAACGTAGGTTGCTTGACACCCAATGCGAGAAATTGATGTAGGCATGCTGAAAAGCTGTCTTGGCCTCCTCACTCGCCAACAACCAGAACAGTCTCGCCAAAAAGGTATTGCAGGAAATCGACGACGGAGGCCTTCTGGCAGTCGATCAATTCCGCATCCCCACTTCCATAGTAGTGTACAACCCGTATTGTGCCTTCGGGTCAATATACGTCGGCACGGTGCCTCCGCATATATTCTAGCACGTGGTCAAAGGTCGGCACGTAGGCAACAAAAGCACTCACCAGTTGCGTGGCAGGGTAGGTTCAAGGGAAATACCGTCAGATCCTCGGACTTGAAGGCATCAAATAATGTGCCAAACGCACTCCGCCACGAGTCCTTCTGGTAGTGCGTGTCAGTGAACTTCGATCTATGGCAGTGATGTATTCACCCAATTTTCAGATTCACAGGGATGCGCAGACGCACTCACCCACCATATGCATATGGAAACTCATTAGGCCTGACCCTATGCCTGCATGACCTCGCCACATAGCATACTAGAAGCCAGGCCAGTGGTCGCGGGGGTAAACTGTAATGGCGTTGTAGAATAATTGACCTTGATGGTTCCAACTCAGTGTGCAGTGGCAAGTTGAACATTTGACTCGCACCGTAATATCAGGTCACGCTGGACAATGGGTAGCACGAAGTGATGAATTGCTGCAGTGGTTGGTTGAACTCGCTGATGCCCACAGCGAGCACGAAGGTTTCGGCAACGTGCTCGGACTGCTGTGACATCCATTGTTAGGTGTGCTCTGTATATACAACAATAAATACAGCGGACTATGAAAAAGGTACGCGGCATGACGGCAAATCGAACCGTCACCAAAGATCCACCATATATTTCCGAATGACCGCCTCCTTGCGAGTACATCATGGGATAAAACAGCGCGGCTCTGGAATCTTGACACTAACCTCCAAGTCGGTTCGCCTCTCCAACACGAAAAGGACGTCGTGTGTGCAGCCTTGTCCGCTAATGGAAAGCTGCTATCTACAGGTTGTGCTGATAAAACCGCGTACGTGTGGGACATTCAAGCCATCCTCAAAACATCTGGCCTAGAAGACCTCCTCTCCGTACCTGACGTGAGTACCAACTTGACTCACTCGCTATCTCATCCCCAATGGCTGAGTTAGGCACAAAAATCTAAACTCAAAAAGAAGGTATGTATCATCTGATGGCTCTTCGAGAATGAAACACGCTCATGTCCCACCCGCACAAGGAATTATCAGGCGTACGTTGTACCTTTTTCCGGCCTTGATATTGAATGTGACATGGACATTCTAGGCTAAGGCTACGCGACATCCACCCATCTGTCAAGTGCCAGCAGGCTTTTTCGATAACGTGCAAGGATGTGATCCTGTGCGTTACTGCCATCTCAATTTGCCCTGCTTTCTGACTTCTATATTGTTAGTCATCCGCTATCAGCCGTCTCCATCCTGATCCCTCTCTAACTCACCCCCGCCGTACTTTTGCACTGTCCTGGGGATCGCGTCCACGTGCTCTCCTCGCTCACCTTCCTCAACTCTTCCGCCGTTCCAATCCCAGTGCTGATGAACCAATCGAATCCCAGCAACGCCCAGGGCCCAGTACCTCCTCTCGTCGCAGTCCTCCTGTTGTCGAAGTTCCTGCACTAGATGACAAGAAGGTATGTCTTGTTGGGGGTGTTCTCAATGGCTGGCCTCAAGTTCTCTCTACAGGCACTGTATACTGCTCGGCAACCGGAACGAGCTAGCGACAAGGCGAAACGCATCAAGAACCCCGCATGGTGGGCTCGTGTTGTGTTGTTCCTTTGCTGTGCATCTCCTTCCACCGATAGTAGCCATTGATGAACGCAGCATATGGACAATCTCGATGTCTAGTTCCGTTCCTCTGTTTTGTTATCTCGTTGTAATGTATATTTCGCTATACCATCAATAACGATCATTAACCTCTCGCATCCTAATTCGTCTGTCAAGTTTACACAGCTGGTGAGTGGTATCTAGCATGGACTACGCCCCACAACACGATGCGGGGCATAGGGAATGGTGGCCCCAGAGTGGCCAGATTACCGACCATGGACGTATCACATCCAAAAGTGATAGCATGCACCGGTCAGCGAGGATTGTTTATATAGCCTGCAGGAGACTGGAAGATCAACTGACATCATTTTAGACACGTACAAAACACTGAACGACATCTGCAGCTGATTCTCGGACTAACGGTGTTTGAGGTTTTGGTCGGCGATTACTTGTTGCACGGTTACTCCAATCTCCGCGCGACTATCGACTTTCTGGAACACTGGCGCAAGACCTAAGAACTCTATATATACCGCCATTGACATCTCAATGAATCATCCACGGGCAAGGTTACCAGTACGTCGGGTAAATTCTTGACGCTCTATTAATTTCTGGAATCCGGTAGCGACTCTCATTCATCTAACCAAGATTCTCGCCAAACCCCTGGGTCATGCATTGAAGAACACAGAACAATCCACGTGCTAACTCGTTCATACGACATTCGAGTGGCTCTAACTACGTTTTTCGTACGAGAGCTTGCTCATTACCCAATCGAAGACGGTGATTCTGTTCAGGATAAAGTCTTACAATTTCAAACTGCACCTCGACTGGGACGTTGCATCATCTGTTCGCTGACATACAGTTTTCGATCCCAGCCAAGTCATCACTAATCACGAGGTACATAGCTTGTAGCCTGCATGTTCTGCCTAGATTCATGCCGTTTAACAGCGAAAACCATTCTTCCCCACTGATCGGAACTCCTGAGTTCTCTGTTACTATATTCAGGATATAGAAGTAAGCCGTCTTCTACTCTGTCCACCCCATCCTCAGTTATGATCCGAGATAACCCTGGCAGATTCGTCATATCGCACAATAATGCATTTCTCCTTCCTCACTGTTATAGTTGATTTGACAGCATCTATTGCTGTCGGTGCATGTGGCATAGAACACTTAGTCTTGCAAACACGACCATGATTGTTGGCGTTCAATGAAATGTGTATTGGATGTGAGTATGAGGTGATCCCGCCAAATACACATGAGGTAGCAGCCAGAGCAGTGCAGTCGTGAGACTGAGTTATGCTCCTACTTTAGCTTTCGTGCCGTGGTTGAGTGACTTGATTGCACAGTATGTAGTTCGGGATCGGTCGGTGCGGCTGCTTCTGCATAAATTTCAATGTTCCTTGCGCAATGCATACTGATACTTCATAGTAATGTGAAATTGACTTGAAAGCATGACATATGAGCGACTACGTGAATGCTATGACCATGGACTCGAACAGCAAATAGATTCACTCTCATGGTCTATACACAACGATGCATGCTTAAGTGGAACAGGGCAAAGACTCTATCTTCACTAACTAACTCCCATCTACACAGATTCAGCGATATTCCACCCGCAAAGACCAATCAGCGCCAATCTCCGGCACAATGTCAGTTGGATCGCCCGAGTCAATGATTGGCGGTGGTAAGCCTGGCCATCATTGCGCGTACATCGAGGGGATGACCCTGTACTGCCGACACATGAATGAAGTAACTTACCAAGTAAGTGTCCTCCCGAAGTGACTTGGACTGCGCATGGTCTGAGATCCGGCTGTAGCCCGACTTGGCCTCAGGGCTTGTGAGTCTTAGGCCCGGCCCTGCACGTCACTAAGATTCTCGGCTGTCAGGGTCAAATCGGAGACCGTCTTGGACAAAATTCATAACTTTTTGAACAAAGAACTGGATTTTGACCTTGATCTTACCAAATATGGAAGGTATGGTAGTGAACTTCGACTTCGACTTTGGACTTGACTTCAGCTGTAACTTTGCCTTGTAGTCATTTGTGCGTCACAACTTATAGTAAAACTTGAATATATATGTTATGTACGTTAAGCCAGTCTATGGTCTTACCATTCTGACACTCCTAGGGGACAAGGTGCTCGCCAGGTGTGCTGCCGTAGGTGAGCTGCGAGCTACCGAGAATTCGGAGGAAGGACTGTTCAAGCTGGGGGCCAGTATGCATTTAGGTGACATCTACAGCCTCTCTCCGAGTCGTCTCGTCTGGAGAGGATTATTGTGACGCTTACAACGGTCTTATGCAGCTATGTAGTTTGATGCCTTATTTGGCAACTTGAAATGGAGCGGCCAGGACAAAAAAACCAAAGTCACCGACACAGGTAAGCCAAAATCAAAGTTTGTGGGGCGAAGTCAGTTTGTCCAGTATGGGGCAAAGTGAGCGCTTTTGAACAACCTTTGTGGCCTTTGTGCGAAACTGCAATAATTACTGATGTTGTAACTAGATGAAAATGATGTCACTCGTTCCTGTTTGGGTACGAGTACGTACTTAACAGGGTCACCTGGGTGAGTGTGCTTGAATACTGTAATGTGCATGAGGCGAGTCCCGAAAAAGGAACCAGCAGTATCTAATGAAGGTATGCATGCACAAGTCATTACGGTTCAGCATGACGAGCAGTTAATTCATAATTTAGCCAAGCTATGAGAAGTTTGAAACCTGTATTCAATTCAGCGCCTGAAGCTACGCTCGAGGTTAGTACATTCTCTCGCTCAATCCCACGTCAAGGTCTTCACGGCACGTTGCAATGTGATGATTAATATATCAGCCATCTTTCATCTTGACCACTTCACGTAAAAGGGTTTCTACTTAGTACCGGTGTTGCGGTGTGTCCTCACTCGATGCATTCTTTCCCTGGGCGAAAACTCTATTCTGAGACTCTATCATATGTGACTGCTTCTTCTTCTCTTGAGCTATTCACCCTGCTTGTTATTCTCACCCCTGCCAGTGCCAGATATTAGGACGCCTCTTCCCAACATCTCCTCAGATCTTCCCAAATTTTGGGTCATGTCGTCCTATACACCACAGACAGATTTGCCGCTTGAACGGTCTCGTCTTATTGGAGTGATTTTGGGGGGTATATCTTACGGTGCGTTTTCGGCCCACACACGATGATTCGGCGGTTGACCCCTGTACCATAATAGGTGCATACCTTCTCCTTACTGTACAAGCGGTGATCGCTCTCATGCAACGTCCCCGAAATGGGCAGAAAATTGCAAATAATCGTCGCACGCTTCTTTGTTACACTCTCATCACGTTCGCGCTTGGGACGGTATGCTTTGCTGGCACTACAAAATATACGGAGATGATTTGGATAGACCTTCGTGATGCACCTGGTGGCCCCATTGCATTGATTGAGAACCCAATGCATTACCGCATCAACTTTATGGCTATATTCTGGTAAGCACCTTTGGCTATCCATCTACACACAGCATTGACGGTTTCATCTAGTGGTTATGTCGGGGAGTGGTTGATGCAAGCACTGCTTGTGAGCTGAATAGTTTGCCGTATGTGCAAGCCTGATGCTTGAAATACTCAGCTTTACCGATGTTTCGTGATATGGAATTGGGAGAGATACGTGATGGTCCCCATGGTCGCCCTCTATACTGGCATGATTGGTGCAGTTGTATTATGTACCAAACGGTAGTGGTTACTGACTTCTTGAGCAGGGGTAGCCATCGTCGTCTTGGTCCAGGCAGGTACCGGGGCTGTATTTTACCATATCAACGCCACACTTGCATACCTCGCCTTCCAAGTGGCGCACACCATGCTTTATACCATTCTCGTGGCGAAGCGTTTGCTCTCCATACGGGGCCTGATGAAGACAGCGTTGGATGAATATGATTCTGGCACCTATGATACCATCATCCTCATGGTCGTTGAATCCGCCATGGCATACACTATCTTTGTCATCATCTACATAGTTGCATTTGCTGTGCATTCAAACTCTCTCTCCACGCTATGTTTCTTGTCTATTAACCAAGTTCAGGTAAGCAGGCAGAAACCTGAGCTATTCGTGTCTCCGGTGCTAGCTTCTTTTTTTTAAAAACACAGGGCATCACGCAATTATTCATTATCATACGTGTGGCACGAGGGAGGGCAGTTACACATGACTGGTCGACCCGAAATGCTCCAGCAGCACCTACGACTCTAGCATTCGCAGAGACTACATCGATCCCGGCAGAAGGAACCGACGTGGCACAAGCAGCTAAGTCAGAGCAGGACAGTGTCAGTGAGTCGTATTCTGTTTTGGCGAAGCTGGCGGAAGCAAATGTATAGCGTGCCGTACTTGATTTATTCCCTCAGTTTATCTATTTGTCTTCATCTCTCTTGTAATTTTATGGACATTCTTTCAGTTTCAGCTCATTGCTACCTATAATATCCGGTAGGTAGATAAAGTACTGTCTACGGGCACATCTGTTGTAAAATATCTTTGACAAGGACGATGAGCAGACTCGTGGTGGAGCAGGGGGGACCCAAGGCCAAACCTCCATGATGGGAGGCTGCGGCTATCGAGGACCGACTACCACACTCAGCAGGACTACTGACTACAAACCAAGACCCTTCGCACTCCCGACCTGATCTGTCCTGCCCAGAGTTAGTCAAAACTTCTGCCAAGATGTGTATGAGCCGTGGGGTGAACTATGTGGTTAGTGGTTCGTGCACCTCTCTCTCGGAGAGGAGACAAGATATTCGCGGATCTGGGAAAGCATCGTGTCTTCCTTCACCTCTCCGGTTTAGCCGACACCTTTCTGGATGTGAAAAAGAAATAGCTACCCAGCGTTGGCGAGCATGGGGCAAGCAAAAATAAGAGATGCTGATCTGATGGCATCTACTGTTTGCCCGAAGACTATGATACTCTTCGTTGCGTGATAGAGCGATAATACTTGCCCAGCCCTAAAAGACAAACCCAACGACGTCTGAGCTATACAAAGACACCTCTTCGGTAGAGCTCGTCTATGCCGTGATATCGATGTCTTCTGAGTAGGATCAAATATAGACAAGCTGGTAGAAAACACATAGAAAGCGGAGATGCATCGAACCATCAATATGGCCGAATAGAGATAGGGAAACGCACGTGGCGCTTCGTTTGCGCAGCACTATGAAGAGAACGTACGGAATTACTCGATAGGTAACTTAAACCAACACTTGCGCAACCACCTCGACCCCAAAGCAAAAATCACGATCTCAGGTAGCCCACCCCTCCCGTTCTTGCGTGGAGTGAATCTGTGTCAGATTGTCCCAAGTAGGGCTTTGCCGTGGGTGATACTCTGGTTGTTTCAAGTAGGAAAAGCTGGAGCAAGAAAAAGATAGGGCCACTTATTGACCGGTCTTGAGGGATATCTCCTGGATACATCGTCCCGAAGCTGTCCTGTGGAGTCAGTATTGAATTCCCCTGGATAGGACCTCTCGTAAGCAATCCCTCCAGGCACCTTCAATATTGACATGGACTCAGGTGAAAGCAGATAGGCTAGTTAACTCACCCGCAATTTATACCCCCACAAGACAACCTCTAATCCAAAGATCCACGAGCTGCTACTCTCACATATAAGCCACAATTCCCTGTAGTGAGATCCCGAACGTCCAACATGTTTTTTTGGCCTGCTAAGATGAAAGAAACGTCAAGATTAATCCCCCGCAAGACGATGCGAGGCCATACCTGGGACGTATCCAGCGTTGCCGGCATCATCACATGTTCGGGTGACGGCTCACTTCGACTATGAGACTTAGAGAGCGGTGCACAGATAGGTGGCGAGTGGCGAGATGAAGGGAATGAGGCAGGAGCAAAGACTATGGCATTGTCTCCGAATGGCAAGACTGTTGCCAGCGGAAGCATGGACGGAACAGTGAGGTTGTGGGATGTCGAGACTGGGAAAGTTGTCGTCAAGTGGGAAGGGCACACTAAATTGGTGCTCTCGGTGTGCTGGAGTCCAGATGGTGGGCAAGTTGCGAGCGGATCCCAGGATGGGACGGCAAGAGTGTGGGATGTGAAGAGCAGTGAACCATTGACAATTCTGCAGGATCTGAATCCAATCAAGTCAGGACATGAGTCGGTGAACACGGTGAGTTACTTACCCAATGCAACAATGATTGCAACAGGAGGATTCCAACATGGAATCAATATCTGGTGTGCAGAGACGGGCATGCTGCTCTCAGAAATCCAAGTGGATTGGGCAGTTTGGAGCTTGACCTGGACATTGGACGAAAAGAAGCTTATCTCCGCATTAACCGATGGCTCGATTAGGATATTCGACACTGCCACAGGGCAGGAGATCGCCACTCTAGGTCACACAGATCTTGTCTACTCCATCACTTTATTTCCAAATGACCGCCTCCTTGCGAGTACATCATGGGATAAAACAGCGCGGCTCTGGAATCTAGATACAAACCTCCAAGTCGGTTTACCTATCCAACACGAAAACCGTGTCAAATGTGTGGCCTTCTCCGCTGATGGAAAGCTACTATCCACGGGTTGCGCTGATAAAAATGCGTATGTATGGGATGTTCAAGCCATCTTCAAAACAGCTGGCATGGAGGACCTCCTGTCCATACTTGATGTGAGTATTGACATGTCAACCACCGTCTCACTCACAATTCTGATATCATTTGCTGTTAATTAGGCACCAAAAGTTGAACCTAAATAGAAGCTGTACAGATCATCTAGCTCTTCAAGCATAGAGCACATTTCCCCCTCCGATTCGTCGCAAGACATACAAGACAAGTCGTTTTTGGAGGTACGTGGCGTATTTATCAACCTCGTCAATCATGATAACAATGTCGACATTCCAGGCTGATGCTACGCGAGGTTTCGGCCAGTTCGGTGACGCAGGTGAACTCTCACCAGGTTTTTTTGATGATATGCAAGCCGATACTCACGTGTATCATTAATATTTCTGCTAATTAGTTCTAGTCCTGACTATTATCCACTTAGTCCTCCGCAACACCTGGTACCCATATCAAGTTTTCTGCACTACTTGGTCGCTTTGCCTCCCTCCTTCGCCGTTCTCGACCTAATCAAGCGCTCGAAACTCAGCAACCTCTATTGCCTTTGGAGTCACGTTCCTCAATCGCTTATCCTCAATCTTTCGCTCTCCGTCAAATACTGGCACTGATGATATATCCGAACTGATGCTTTCGCGATTAAATCCACAGGTGCTCCTCGGTCATCTGTCCTCACTTTTTCCCCGCTCTTGACTTCACGCCGACGAAGCAACCGAACCTCAGTAATCCCAAATGCCTTCGGGGCCACGTCCAGGTGCACCAATAGGTTACCTATCAGCACTCTTCCGCTCTCCACTCAACGTCGATGAAGCAATCGAACTCCAGAATTGCCCTGGGCCAATTATCTCTTCTTATTGCAGTCCTCATGTTGTCGATGTTGCTACAATGCGGGACAGGGAGGTGCGTCTTTCTTGCCTGTTGTAATTGCTGGGTCCAATGTTTTCTGTGCAGGTCATATTTGTTGCTCGTCAGCCTGACACTGCTCGTGAAATGGCCAGGCGCATCAAGAACCAAAACCGTGGGTTCGCATGGTGTTGTTTATTTGCTGCGTGTCTCCTGGTAACAATGGCAGTCCTGGCACTGACGAGACTCATCACAGCACGTAGTCAATATTTTTATTGAGTGTAGTGTGATGTAGCTTTTGCTACTATATCAACACCAGTTAATATTCATTCATGATTCCATACTAAGTCGCTAACCCGTCTGTTAAGGGATCGCGCGAACACACCAAACGCCTAGTGCCAAGAAGTGCTAATCAATTTATTGCCGTGCTCATGTTCCCCGCTCTATCTGTCATCTCCCAAAGTTCACGACGCTCGAAACATATGCAGGCAGATGTCGCTCGCATTCGTCATCAGATTTGCCTAACTCGTCTTAAATGGCTACCTTGCGGTTGACATCTCTACAATCACAGCAACCAACCAGGCTTAGGTTGTATTTGGATTGTTAGAGTAACGACATATCAGGATTTAGAATGTGTTTCAGTTAACATCGCGATTAGGATCTGTAGGTGTATCTCTACGAATTTCCTTCGTCGGCTCAGTGAACCCTGAACATATTTCATCCCGAAGTTCCTTTCTATGCTAATACCTGGCGATCCACGGTAATTACCGTGTAACATCAGTGGATTGGATTGTGTTACAGAGTGCTACAGAGTGCTCTGTAGCACTCTGTAGTGAATTACATTTCCCTGATGAAGTCAGCTGTACAAGTTTGTCGTATACTAATAATCTGTCATAAGTACCAGGCGAAGAAAAATATCAATGCACGATAACAAGAGATATCCATAATATGACAGTTTCACACCCGGGACTGAAATGACCCTGCAGCTTCAATGAGGCGTTCCCATGTGCGCATGTCAGGTGGTCAATTCCAGAAATAATGGGGAGTCAGCATACGTCTGTAATTTTCTGCCCTTCGGATAAAACAACCAGGCAAGACCGAAGACCCTTCAAACGCCACAGCCGTTGGAGCCAAGCGAGGACATACCGATTCTAGAAAGACTTGAACATACGATCAAGCGCATTGTTCCATGGTTTCTGAGCTCGCAAGATATGGTGTGCTTCGTATTCTTGATGATGGCTGTCAAAGGGGTATCAGTCACAGTCGACGCATCGCTACCTCGTAGAAGCAAGCATTCTGAACCCGATATTTGTTTCCACGATTTGTTGAGCAGCCTGCGAATGAGAATATAAGAAGCGCATTTCTTTTAAATGGAGCATTCACGCACCTTGCCTCGGACTTCATTTCCATCTCTGTGTCGAGGTATCGTATCACATCCGCCTCCGTGTTTTTTCATCACGCTCTTGACTTTCTGCCCACCAACGACACATCCTCTTGGACTTTGTGAAAACAATATATCTCCGGTGTCCTCTACTCGGGAGATTTGTCTGCGTAGCAAATACCATTGACTGTGGATATAAATAGAACACACCTTTGTAGAAAATTACAATGGATGTTTGGGTGCAGCTAGGACGTTCGTGAACAAATCTTCGTTGAAACAAATATGTTAAGGTGCGTTACGACACAAGGGATGGGACTAGGGAGCAATGGTAAACATTCAGTTAGAAGCACGTAGCACGTAACATTCTCCAGCCCTAATCGTCGATCGTCCAAGAAAAGACGGCGGGCGGTAGGCCTCGTAAATCTCTACACGGGAAATAGCTTTGAATATGTTGAAAGGCGGGAAGAGCGGCATGTATTGGTCTAAAGGGAGTAGTGAAGTGTGAAAAAGAAAGAGCTCAGTGATGTTCTGCGATGGCAGACATGGGGCAAGCACAAATGCTCGCCCGGAGAATCTGATGCTCGTCGTTACATGATTAACATTTACTTATCCGACAGCTGGAAGAAACCGCGTATGCGGAGAGCGGAGATGAATCGGATCATCAAGGATCCAAGGGAAAAACAGGTGCGAAGGGACGCACGTGGCTAAGTCGTGGCCCGGGGTGATTCGTTTGTGATGAGAACACGAGGATAACGCGGAATATGCACATCAGTAGAAGACATCAACAAATACTTGTGCAGATCTCTCGCCCCAAAATTAAATGCCCGCTGCAAGTCCATTGTCTTAACTACCAGCCCTCCATCTCGATCTTGCGTAGATTGAGTCCGTGTCTAGTTGTTCTAAGTGGGGCTTGTTGTAAGTTACATTCTGGGTGAAAAAGGAATACGTGCTGAATGGTATCAAGGATCCTCGTAGAGGCTTCTTGCAAACTTTGGAGAACCAGCATCGAAAACCTGCTGCGGACGACGTCCCGAAGTCTGTCTCTGTGTCCAACCCTCTCGTGAGGAATGCCTTATGCACGTCAATTAACACTCACTCAGGAGAAATCATATAGACTTATTGGCTCACCGACGATCTTGTTGCCTGAAAGACAACGACAAGCTGCTTGAAGACCCCAACAAGTTGCTTTCGCACGTATAGTCCAAATTGTCCTTAGTTGATAACCCCCGTGCGCCGACCATGTCTTCCACGGCTGCTAAGATCAAAAGGGCATCGATGATAAGAACACAAAAGACAATGCGAGGTCATACAAAGCTGGTCCGAGGCGTTGCGCACCTGCCCGGTGGGCAGAGCATCATCACATGTTCGAGAGATGGCTCACTTCGATTATGGGACCTAGAGAACTGTACACAAATAGGCGAAGATTGGCGGGATGAGGGGGATGAAATAGGAGTATGGAGCATGGCATTGTCTCCAAACGGCAGCACTATTGCCAGCAGCTATCTTGACGGGACAGTGAGGTTGTGGGACGTTGAGACAAGGAAGGTCATCACGAAATGGAAAGAGCCCAGTGAAGATGTCAACTCGGTATGCTGGAGTCCAGATGGTGTGCAGGTTGTGATTGGATCCGCGGATGGGACGGCAAGAGTGTGGGATATTGAGAGTGGCAAACCATTGATAGTCCAGGGTTTGAATCCAATCCAAACGGGACACGAGTCGGTATACGTGGTGAGCTACTCACCCAAGGCAACAAAGATCGCGACAGGAGGATACAACAAAGATGGAATCGAAATCTGGGATGCAAAAACGGGCAAGCTGCTCTCAACAGTCAAACACGAATACGCGGTTTGGAGCTTGGCCTGGACCTCGGATGAAAATAAGCTTATATCCGGCTCAGGGAATGGCTCGCTTAGGATATTTGACACTGCCACATGGCACGAGATCGCCGTTCTGGAGGGTCACCAACAGGTTGTTGAGGCCATCACTTTATTTCGCAATGACCGCCTTCTTGCGAGTGCATCATGGGACAGAACAGCACGTCTCTGGAATTTGGACACTAACCTCTCTATCGGTCTACCCCTCAAGCACGAACAGGACGTCGAGTATGCAGCCTTTTCTGCCGATGGAAAGATGCTATCCACGGCTTGCGCTGATGAAAACGCGTACGTGTGGAACATTCACGCCATTCTCAAAGCCGCTGGCCTAGAAAACCTCCTGTCCATACCTGTGAGTGCCAACTTTACTCCAACTCGCTATCTCATTCACGATGGTTTAGGCACAACAATCTGGACTCAAAAGGGAGGTGTGTATCTCAAGGCTTTTCAAAAATACAGTATGCTAATATTCCATCAGCAGAAGTCGTTCTCGGATGTACTAGTACGTTTTGCCTTTCTTGATCTTAACATTGATTGTGACATCAATGTTCTAGGCTGATGCTACACGACATCCAGCCCCCTTTCAACTACCAGACTTACTTGATGACTTGCAGGACTGTGATCCTGTATGTAACCACTATCTCAATTTGCTGGTTCATGTAGTAACTTATACGCCCAGTTCCCCGCTAGCAGCATTCTCCATCCTCATCCCCTTGTGCATCACCGCCGCAGTGCTTTTGCACCCTTCCGGGAGTCGCGTCCACGTACGCTTCAAGTCCGCCTTCCACCACTCTTCCATCCCTTACAGCTCGATGCTGACGAACCAATCGAACTCCAACAACGCCCAGGGCTTAGTACTTCCTCTATTCACAGTTCTCATGTTGTAGAAGTTGCTGCGCAACAAGACAACCAGGTATGTCTTGTTTACGGCGAGTTGCCGATGGCTAGTGTCTGAAGATGTCTGTGCAGGTGTTACACATCGCTCAGCAGCCGGAACAAGCTAGCAACAAGACGAAATATATCAAGAACTGTACATGGTGGGATCGTTTCGTAGTGTTCCTCTTTTGTGCGTCCCATTCGCCCGTTGATAGGTCCAAGTGCATAGTGAGTAGTACATAGGCAATAATTTTCATTCCATTCGTTTTCTTGTCTTGTAGTGTCTTTCGATATTTCATTAATAACATCTGTTGACATCTCTCATCTTAACTCGTGCGTCAAAAAATAGCATTATGTGCTGGATATTTCATCCACATTCTCGAGCGCTACACTGAGTCCAGGCTCCTACCTACTGCTTTGAGGGTGAAGGCGGACTACTGCTACTATCCCTTCCACTGCAATCGGCACCCCACAGAAGTCGGCACTTTCACAAAACTCGTATTTCTAGCTACTTCAACACAAAATTCTCAACATATTTATTATTCTCTCGCTAATACAACTAATTACGAGGTCGAACGACCATGATTGAAGAAGAATTGAATGAGATAGTTGAATGTGCCGAAGTCACGCAGAAATGTCACCTGCTGATATGTGCCGTGATGGAGTTTCAAACTGCATACACCAACTTTGGAAGTGCCGACTGGTGTTGGGTGCAGTGCATTCGCAGATCTAGCGGCGGTAGACGAGGAAAGCTGCGAGCTTTGTCAGACACTAGTATCATGCCAGACACTGAGTAATCGACGTTTGGGAGTGCAGGAGCCTCGTCGGCATGCCCACGAGAGTCAGCAATTATTATCTGCTGCACAGGAGGAAACTGTTGCTGACTGGTGCAGCATCCATACAATATTAATGTACATGGTCTTCCTACACATCCACTCAATTTTATAACTACAGTTGCCCTCATACTTAGATATATCTACTAGTTAATACTCGTTCAAATATTTGAATATTCACGCCGAATTCTTGCTTGACTGCCGGTCTTTGAAATCGGCCTATGTGACATATCGTGACTTATAGTGACATTTGCGTGACTGCCGACTTCTGTGGGGTGCCGATCTATAAAGTAGGATGCGACGGGTGGGAATCGTCTCGCCAGCTCGCGTGGCTTTCGCATAGATGCGCTTAGGAACGCTTAGGAGCGCTTAGGAGCGCTTAGATGCGCTTAGACGCGCTTAGGGATGCTTAGATTCGCTTAAGAACGCTTAAGAATGCTTAGCTCGCTTAAACCTCTTTTTGGGAATCTCGTGTGGCTTTCTCGCATGGCCTGGTCACGGGTTTTCGAGCTCCGACTTAACACTGTTGCCCGTTCGAGTGCAGCACATGTCAATAAATAATTGATGAAAAATTGAATGAGAGAACAGGGGAATGGGGGAATGGGCCAAAGGTGTGAGTGGAGCGAGCACTTTTGGTCTGTTCCTCCATTCCCCTGTTCTCTCATTCAATTTTTCATCAATTATTTATTGCACATGCTAGGATGCAGCCAAGGCCAGGAAGCCAAAAAGGAGTGTGAAGCGCTCCATTTGCTTCCTGTGCTGAAGGCACAATGGGTGTGAAGCTAGTAGTACTATAGTATTAGGATTTTGAGTGATCACGTGGTACAAACAATTTTTCAAACCCAGCACAACTTTAATCCTTCACCCTCTCAGCAGCAGCTGGCAGATAACATTTGTAAACACTGCCAGCCACAGCAGCACATCACTGCCGATGACATGTGGACACTTAAAAATACTGTAGTTGGAATGGCAATAAAGTTAATTATTTTAGCCTATGCCTTGCACATGTCTGAACAACCTTCCAAAGCCCCTAGTTTCAGCGAGATACAACAGGTCACACAAGAGTGTTTTGGCAAATGGCCATGTCTTTGGCAGATGAAAGTTGCCAAGGCATTCATCCAGAAAGACTGGGACATAGTGTGCATCACCAGCATGTCATTGGGGAAGACCATGACCTTCTGGATGCCACTACTCTTGAAACCTGGGATTCAAATTGTTGTTACACCATTAAATCAACTTGGCAAACAGAATGTAGACTCACTTGTGAAGGCCAGCATGTGAAGCATATCCATTTTGGCAGAGACAGCAACCTTGTCTAATTTTCACATGAGTCCCTTCATACCTCATGACAAAGGTTAGGTGTATAGCTTATATTATAACAGGACATTGAAAACAAAAAATACCTTGCCATGATTGTCAGTCTGGAACAGCTGATGAAACCAGGAGGAGAATTTGAGAAACTGCTGCATAAATGAGAGTTCGTGTCAGATATCATTGGCTTTGTCTTTGATGAAGCGCATTGCATTACTTCATGGGGGGATTTTTGGCCTGAATACAAGGAATTACAGTGCCTGCGTTATATTCTGCCATGCTACAGTGGCTCAAAAAACTGTCTGCATGTTTTGACATTTTTCACTATCTATGATATTGTGTGAGAATGAACAAATGCCTCAAGGACATGCTTATACTACAATGTAGTATGACTTCAGGGCTTTCATTTGAGCCCTACACTGTGGGAATCGGTGGAGATATGGTGGAGATACAAGGCTCACAAAATGGTGACTCATGCGGACAGTTTTTTGACTCAAGTATTTTACAATAATAACCAGGTATTCTAGTATTTTGTATGACCTCCCTTGGCTTTAATTACTGCCTCTATCCTTCTAGGCATACTCTCAATTAATTTCTGGCAATCCTCAGCTGTGATCTTTCCCCATTCCACTGCTACTCTCTCCCAAAGCTCCTATACTCCTTTAGGGGGGTTTTCATAGGCTTGAAGCTTTTTCTTGAGTGTTCCCCAGAGATGTTCAATGACATTGACATCAGGAGACTGTGCTGGCCAGTCAAGAACATTGATGTTATGTTCTTCAAATCATTCCTTAGCTCTTCTGGATGTGTGCTTGGGATCATTATCCTGTTGGAAAATGATATCTTCTTCATCAATCCCTAATTCTGCCAAGCTAGGCAGCAAGTGGTCATTTAAAATGTCCACATACTGCTCAGAATTCATCTTCCCCTCAACCTCAGCAAACATTCCCACACCATTCCATCCCATACAGCCCCATACCATTAAAGAACCTCCTCCAAACTTGACAGTCCCATTAACCTCTCTGTCTGTTAGGCCATCTCCCTTTTTTTCCCATACATATACATTCCCATCTGACCCAATCCTATTGATTTTGGTCTCATCTGACCATATAACATGCTTCCAGTCCTCTACAGTCCAGTGTTGATGAGCTAAGGCAAAGGCTAGTCTTCTCTGCCTATGTTTGATGGAGAGAAGAGGCTTTTTCTTCTTTGTTACTGTCTTGAGATGAGCTGCCTTGAGAACATTCCTCACAGTTTGTGAAGAGACAGGGGTAGTGATGGTGGAATTGATATAATGGATGGCTTGGACAGCATTATCAGCCTTTCCTGTAGTAATATGTTGGATAATAGCCCTTTTGTCAGTAGAGGTAAGCTTGGATGGACGTCCTCCACAAGAGTTTTCCTTGTCTGGGTGGCTTTCTTTGATAAACTTGGCCACAGTGGACTTGCATACTCCAGTTCTAGAGGAAATTTGGCAAGCAGAGAGGCCAGCATAAGACAGAGAGAGGATATTATCTCTTTGAGCAGAGGAGATGGCTTTCATGGTGATTATGACTATGATACATGAGATATTCTGGTTTATATAGTTAGATATAGTCATAAAATAACATAATGACACCACTTCATAATTTATATAATAGTGGCATGATTTTTGTGGTGTCATAAATAATGATTTATATAGTTTTAATATACACTCAAAAAACTGTCCACATGAGTCATCATTTTATAAGCCTTATGTCTCCACCATATCTCCACCGATTCCCACGGTGTAGGGCTCAAATGAAAGCCCTGAAGCCATACTACAATGTGGTATAAGCATGTCCTTGAGCCATTTGTTCCTTCTCACACAATATCATAGATAGTGAAAAATGTCAAAACTTGCAGACAGTTTTTTGAGCCACTGTACATACCTTTCATGATGGCATCCACCATACTTACACCAATTGATCTGTCTCATGGAAAGAGACTTCTTCATATGCACTCAGAAAATCTAGTTACCATTAGAACATCTATTGATTGTTCTAACATCAAACTATGCATTCAGCAGATCAAGTACTCACTTTCATCATACCAAGACTTGGCATTTCTCATCCCTGATGGTTGGAGCAACAGTGATCTGATGTGAAGAAGAAATTGGTACTAGGCAGTTAGCAACTAGCACTACTTATCCTAAGAGGTGCAAGTTTAATTGATTGGCCCAAGAGGACTGCTATTGAAGCACTTCCTTCAATTATGTGCAAGGGAAGTAAGTGAGTGAAGGAGTTATAACCTATATTGGCCTAAGAAACTTGAACATGGACCATATGTATACCTCTAAATTCCTATACCAAAGAATCGACTGTGAGCACAGACAAAAATCGACTGATGTTAATATTACAGGAGTGAGATGAACCATTAGAAGATACATGTGAACATATTGGATGTCAGATGCCAGTGCGGCAGATGTAACACATACAAAATCAACCATGCTCTATGGAGCAGCCAGTTGCAAGGGATATAGTGCAAGTGAAGAACAGCACTAAACTACCGGTCACAGGTCGGGTATTCTTGCAAGAGCTTTAAGGGTAAGATCCTAGTGGTATGGAACTTCAGAGTGGTCAAATTGCGCAGGATTGTCAAGAAAGAGCAAAATAGATGGATAGCACAAGGTCTACAAAAATAATGTGAGAACAACTCTCCTATAGAGCTGAGTCCATGGGAAAGGGAACTACTCAATTGTATGTACTGCAGCTGTTTATATTGTAGCACATGAATGTCCGGAGTGCGTAGGCAAGAATTGTAGTGTAGTTGGCGAGCACATGATGAGTCTATAGGTAATAAAACATCATGCGCTGCAGAACGTGAGTAGTCGTGTAATAAGACCTGCGGCTTGTTTAGCAATGACATTTGGGAAAAATAATGCACCAGTGGAGATAGGTGGACATGGATAGGACATGGGAGGGCGGATTCCTAGGACTGGACCAGAGTAAGAGTGGATGGGTCAATATATATGGATTTAATGATCCATGCTTTATCTCCTTTTCTGAAGGTGAGAAGAACTGTGCTATTGATCATACGTGCCTAGCGCCAGTATGATTGTCACACCAATACCCCCAAAATTTCTCATATTCTTCAACAATATCCAGGACATGATTGCAGCTGCAAAAACACTGCAGAAGCGACTTCCCCTTGACATGCACCACAAAATTAAATGGTATAATTCAGATATGACAGTGGAGTACAAAGAAAATGAAGTGAACCACCTCATTTTGGGCGAGACATGGGGACTCTGTATGATGGAATCTTTCAGAATGGTAAGTGATCCATATTACAGTAAGCGACTGTCTGAACAGTTGACAAGGGAATGGACATACCTGATATCTTACTGGTTATACAATGGAGGGCAATGTGCAAGCTTTTGACATTGTGGTAATGATGGGGGCATGCCACCAGAGATAAGCAGCTGCAGGGCACTGCCATTCTATTTGCTGAAAAAGAGCACTTTGATGATGTGTGGGAGGAGAGGCATCAGTGTCAGGAGATGAGGAAGTGGAAAGATAGACCTGGTGTGACCAACTCATCTGCATCAAAACGTCAGTGTGGAGTTGGTATGGCAGCACCCACAGAACAAGATTTTGAAGAGGACCATGAGGAAGGAGGGATTGATGAAATTGAATGCAACCATGACAATGGAGGGAATGATGACATCAATGGCCCTGACAGTGTGGGCATTGGAGATAAGGAGCTGCAAGATAAGATGAAGTCAACAATGGACAGACTTGGAAAGACTGGGTCAAATGCATGGACTTCAAAGAAAAGCCAAGAACTGGAGCCTGTGATGGACTGCTTGATAAATGCCCACCTGCAGAATACAATCTGATGTCGATGCAGAGTATTTTGAGTTCACTTTGACAATGCTTCTGCAGGTGAGAACAATATAATCAAATTATGTATCATTGATCACTTCACTTACTCTCTATTTAACAGAACTGGATCACCTTGCATGTGATCCATCATGTCCAGAAGGTTGTTTACATTGTGCACCTGCCTTGCCTGGCACCTGCTGCGACATTCATCACCCTCATGCTTTCTCATTCTTTGACACTACCATTATACTTGCACCCTCCAAAGTTCCTTACCGCTGTGACGATCATATTCCCGCTAGGCTTGCAATGGCCATCTTTGATATAAGTGATGGAAAGCTACAAAACCATTGACCACTTTTCCCACACTCAACCTGCTCCAGATGCGTATTCCTGTGCTCTGCAGACCTGCACATTCACTCCCGCACTGCGTGCATAACTGCGGTCGATTTCCTGCGCCTTCAGACTACCTTACAGATGTCCCGCATCAGTCCATTGTCCATCCTACCTCATTGGTACATATTTTGCCTTGCCTTGTGTGTTGTAACAAGTGTTGCAGCCTTATTACATGTCTTTACATATTCCTACTGCCTGTCTGTCCTGTCCCTTCTGTTTCCAAGAGAATTTAGCTAGTATAAAGTGCCTAGGGTGACTACTTTGTATTTACTTCCCTTCTGCAGTATTTCCTTCCCTTAGGTTTTACTTAGGAGCAGTCACCATTAGTGCGCGCTTTTTAGCCCCTATTGGTTACCTTATACCTGGACACCTTACCTTGACTTTCCTTACCCATGCCATTCCTTAAGACTTCCCTACCCTAGCATCTTGCACTTCTGCATTGACCACTCATTGACCACTCATTAACTGCTCATCGACCGCACTTCTGCATTCCTGCGCTCTACATACCTGTGCTCTGCGCACTTTCGGGTCTTTAGTAACATCAGCCATTCTCAGTAGCAATTCCCTTTAGGGTCAAACATTCTTGCTTGCAAGTGTAGCAGCTAGGCAGAGCATCAACCTACAACAATATTTTTGGTTAGGCACATTAACAAGTGTCTAGCCATTGTTGTGTTTGTACACCGCTCTCGGCTTACAAAACACAAGATGGGACCAAAGGAACATGAGCTCTGTGACTCATTGGAGAATTGGCAGGAGGCAGCAACCAAAAGAATATATGGAGCTTCTAATCTTAATGACTACAGCCCCAGCCTTGTAATGCCCGACTCAGTCCTAGATCGCATTGTGGATTGTGCACACCACAAAAAAATAGTCACTATAGATGACCTCCACAAAGAGACATGGTGGTCAGGTGTCAACCAATTTGGTGGTGATGTCATTGCTGTTATACACCACATCATCCCAGTATTAATTCCAGTACCTATCTTCACTTCCAACCCACTGCAACCACTGCCATGTCAATCTGTCAACAACACCTCTTCGAACACTCAGGCCCATGCACTGGTAATGAACTGAAAACAGAGCAGATGTAGCGCATGTAATCTGGAAGGACATCATAGTGAGTCCACTCTTAACATTAATTCTTGTGCAATGCGCTCATATGTTTCAAATACTTAGAATGAAATTGGGTATGTGCAATGCACCATTCTCAAGTTGGCTCCTGCATAGCAAGTTTGGGGGACAAAGAAAATTTAGTATGTCCTTTTCGTTACTGTAATATATTCCAGAATTGACATAGCACCAACAGACAGTTTGATCTACATCATATGCCCAGCTCTACTGCTAGATCTTCTAAGGTTGCATGATCTTCACCTGCTTCCACATCCACACCTATCTCTTTTTTGTCTATCAGTTTGAGACCCTTGCTGAAGAGGTCAGGTACACAGTATTTGCTATTCTGTCCTAGCATTGGCTTGTGTGGTGAATGTTCTGCTATATACATACACAACTGTTTGAAAGTTTGTGCCATGTCTGCCTTGGCATGTTGATTGGTGAGGTGTGTGCGCAAGAAATTCCACTCAAATGCTCCATGCAAATTCCGATATACCTGTACCAGAGGAGATTCAAGGATAATGTGGTCTACAGTATGGTTAGAGCCCTTTCCTCCATTGATTACCTATATACAAAATTAATCACTCATGTAATTCATTGAAAAGGAAAGTGGCTGACCTTTGTATGTAAATAGGTTGTTGAGCTCAACACACCAGTCAACAGCTTGAAACTTGCCCTTCTTCCCAGTTGGGTTAATGAGAATATGATACCAAATTGCCTTTCTGTACAACAATTTAGCTTTCCTTCAACTGCAGTGTGAAGGCATGACATTACCTCAACCCTTTGGGGTAATAGAAGTGGGTGTTGCATAAGAAATCAGTCATATGCATGGCATACTTATGCTTCCATGTAGCTTTGAGTATCATGATCCATGCAACAACACATGTCTCCACTTGACCAATGTCCCCCAAGTTCATCGCATATGAGAGCTCCTCATACAGTAGCATGTACTTGTTGAGTAAGAGACAGTTCTTGTATTGCTTGTTGCATTGTGCATGCTGTGCTGATCTCATCCACTGCAGTCTGTGATTGGCAATGTAAGTGCATGCAAGTTGATCTGCCATGTTTTTCAAGTCATCAAATGAAGGTTCTGATGCAGCGAATTTTTCTAGGTCCATGTGTAAGGAGTTGTGCTTTTTGGCCTCGACTCTCCAACAATCAAGTCATCAGCAGATACCATCATAAGTGATTAGTTGGTGCATGTAATGAAAACCTGGTTTTGATCCATATATTCCTGTTTCTTTAGGATGAAGAATTCCAATGTCCTGCATCAATGCACTGTCATCATCTTGTGCTGAAATTGGCTGCAGAAAGGTGTGCCATATGGCATCTGCACTGGCCATCTTGAGGTGGAACAAACCTGGAATGAAGATAACATGCTGAAAACACTTCCAGGGTGTATCTTCAATTGCACATTGCTGCTGTGCAGCCAGAAGGTGTTCCCTGATGCTGAGATCACCATGGAATAGCATGACATACTCTGACATGTCTGGCATGTCCATGTCTGGGTCAGCAGCATCTGTGGGATCCTCAATTCCCCCCTGGTGCAATAGCTCAACTACTGAGCAAATATTGCCAGATACTGTCAAGTTGCATACATGCATGGCATGGGCAGCCAAAATTGGTGTTTTTATGACAGGAATAGCCTCAACTGTCTCTGGGTTGTCAAGCTGATCCTTGAACTGACAAAAGTATAGGGGACTGAAGTTGGCAAGGTTGGAAAGCATTTTCCATGAGTTGAAACGGTCTTGATGAGACAGACCAGTTGCATCCAATGAATTGGAATGTAGTCTCAGTAGGTCTTTCCATCCCCCCTTCAATGCCATTGATGCATTGACATGCAGATTGAGGGGAGAACTTTCCCACAGTGTTGATGAGCACTGCAAGTCCTCGTGTGTAACACCATGCTGCAGTGGAAAGAGCAGGCCAGATGTAAGGTGTATCAGCATGTCTTCAGATTTGCCTATAGTGTGGACCATTTTTTCAGGTCAACATCGAAATTGTCATATGCATAGGCTGCAAGGAGTGTTTGGCCGAGGGCTCGAATGGCATGGTGAGACTCTGTGGACAATGATGTTATCACTGCATTTATCACATGCACTGATACACTGACACCCATTCTCAATAGCATCTCAATGACTCTCTGCGGTGTATACATGGACTGCAGAAATATTCTGAATATGCTTTGCAATGCATTTGTGTTTCAATTTGAGCTTTGCATCAAGATACTGAGAATGATAACCTTTTCTATCAACATGAGTTAGAGTCTGTTCAGTCTGTTTGCTCCACCTTGACTTACAATCATAATCAATTTATTTTTGTGTGCTATCATCCTATTCTGTTTCATGTCAGGTGCAAGGCCTTCCATCACTTCCTCCAGCTCTAGATCACCCAATTCCTCCCAATACTGAGCTTCATCATCATCATTGCCTTCAAGGTCATCCAAACTCTTGTGCGCATCTCTCCAATTGCTACTTCTCCTTGCCAAAAGAAGGACATCAAGCATATCCCACAAGAATAGTGCACATTGTTGCATCCCTCCACCTAACTCTTTGATGTCAAATTCTTCAAGTTGTTCTATAGATGCATGCAAGACTGAAAAATGGTAGCCAGATTTCTTTGCTGATAGTTCTTGAATCTCCAGTGCACACCTATGTTTCATGATATCACTAGCCCACTTCAGTGCACCTCCTGTAGAAGCTTCTGGGTGTCCTGTGAGAAGCTTGATGATGCACGGGCTGCATGATCTTAGATTGATTGTATTCTCATGGGTGGTGTAATGGAAATTAGTTAGCAATTCAATGAGGAACTCTGATGCTGAGATGCCAACAAGATTGAATGCTTCCAAGAGGGCATCAACTTGATCCATTGTTGTCATTGTCTGAGTAGCACAAGAATAATAATTATATTATATTATTATTAGACCTAGGTACAAATGCTACATCTCTTAGGCTTTTAAGTGTCTGCATGTCGTTGGCAGTGATGTGCCACTGTGGCTGGCAGTATTTACAAATGTTATCTGCCAGCTGCTGCTGAGAGGGTGAAGGATTAAAGTTATGCTGGGTTTGAAAAATTGCTACCACATGATCACTCAATGTCACAGTCCACCTTCACCCTTGAAGCAGTGGTGGGTAGGAGCCTGCACTGAGTCATGCATGGATGCTTTTTTGAAGAACTATCTATTTGCCCATTTGCCCAAACTTGGTATTATATCTGGACACTAAACCTCCTGCAGATTTCCTTGCTTTTCATGTGAGGTCTGCTTATTTCCAGCCCAGTCAGAATTAGGTCATTCTGTATGGGAGCCCATGGTGTTGCCTTGCACTCAGGGGTGATTTCACCAGACACTAGAAAAATATCCAAACTTCCTGCAACAAACTTCAGCAATCCCAAATGCCCTCGGGGTGCACTAATCAGCTGCCTGTCCTCATGCTGCTCTCTACCCAATGCTGATGAAACAACCAAACTTCAGCAATGACCAAGTGTTAAGAACATGCTCAAGGGAGAGAGAGACTGACTCAGAGGGGCTTGGCCTCAGCTCGTACACTGTGCCCCTTACCCAAGTATGTGCCCTTCATTTCAGAGGAAGTCCGATGATGGTCCAACAAAGTCCAGAGGCTGGCTACTCTGGTGGAGAGTGTGGGAGGACTTCCAGCGGAGCGTGGGAAACATCCGGAGGAGCACAGGAGAGTTCTGGAGGAATGCAGGAAATGCTCAGGAGAGTTCCTGCTGCAAGGTAATACTTCTACAGGAAAACAGGATGGAAGGATAGGAGGTCCAGAGGACAGGAGGACAGATGTCTGGAGGTATGGAGGATGGAACGTCTGAAGGACAGGACACCTGGAGGTATGAGGGACAGGAGGTTTGGAGGTACAGAAGACAGGAGGTCCAGAGGTCTGGAAGGAATAGGGGCTACATTGGACGAAGTCTGATGTAGAAGCAAACAGAGGTAGACTACCCTAAGGTAGAGTCAGAGGGACAGGAAGTGGACCTAAGTCCGGAAAGAGGGTAAGTGCCGGAAAGGCAAGACTCCAGCCTAGGGAAGCAATCCCTAGACTTGGGACAGAGACATAGGGGACAAATCCGAAGGTCCAGAATTCTGGCCTAGGGAATCCTTCCCTAGGCCTTATGGAAAAGGATGAGACTCAGATGGACTGAAGTCTGGAAGATGATTGGGAAGTAGAACAGGATCTAAGATGATAGAGCAGGAACTAAGATGATATTCAGACTGAGGACTCTACTGTAGTTGTACAGGGGTTATATACTAAAGGCTATCTGAGAGGATCAGTAAGCAAAGGAGTAAGGCTATGTACGAGCATGCAGAAACACATTGGTAAGTAAGACAGAACATAAGTAAATGAACTTGGAGATAAAACTAATACAAGGATCAATCAGCAAGATGGAAGCAGAGATAACTGAGAACTGGAAAGGCAGAGATGCCTGAATGGGGATAGGTGCAGGATCTTGGATGGAGGGTGGGAATAGGTCCGGAGATAGTACAGTTAATATCTGGAGGTCCAGAGATCTGGGGATCCGGTGTCTTAATAACCGAGGGTCTTATATAAATGCATGTAAAATGTAATAACACCACAGTTACACTAGGATAAGACTTCTTGCCAGTCCTCAATTAACATGGTCTATGACTTTTCTTCTTTCATGGTAGATAACATGTGAGTTCTTGGGAGGCTCGCTAAACCAATCTATGTGATTAACTTAGCTGGAGCTTTTGTGTTATATCCCAACTTATAAACTTGTCTAGGATAAACTGTCTAGACACTGGAACATGGTTCCTTGTTAAGATAATCCTCTGTAGAGACTATGGTCTCAAATATGAATACATTGACCAAAGACTGGTTGGTCAAATAGGCACAAAGTGGTGAGAAACTGGTCTCACAAATGAACAGATTGACCAAAACTTGTGTTGGTCAATATCAGATAACTAGGTGAGAAGTGGGTCTCACAAATGAACAGATTGACCAAAGCTCATGTTGGCCAATATCAGAAACTAGGTGAGAAGCTGGTCTCACAAATGAACAGATTGACCAAAGCTCGTGTTGGTCAATATCAGAAACTAGGTGAGAAGCTGGTCTCAAATAAACTAAGTTTCTATCATAAGAAACTTATGTAATCTCAAGGGAATGTCTTTTCCCTGCACTTGGTACTTCAAAGGGGCTTTCTTTGTAAGCAACAATCTTCACAGTGAGTAGCTCAAACTGAGATTCAAATGATTGCAAGTGGGAGATCCTATTTTTTGGGGGGAGAATGGGCCCTCCTTATATACATTTTGTGTGGGAATATTATGTAAGTAAAAAAGCGGAGCAATGACATCAGAAGTGGAGCAGAATATTCCAGAAAGTGGAGCAGAACATTCCAGAATATTTCATAGTAATGACATCAGAGGTGAGTCATTGTGGAGCAGAACATTCCAGAACAAATGACATCATCATGACATCATACCCTGTAGGTACAATTTTGTGAAGTATCTGATGGGTCAGAGCATCCCAATAGAAAAATAAATCAAGGAAATACTAGAGAAAACAACTCAGAAATAATAATACAATAACAAGACATAAAACACAGGCTTTTTAGATAGGTTTTTGTTAGGCTTTGAACTTTTCTCTATGGTTTTCTCTAGCCAAAGTGAATAAGCCAAAGGCAAGGCAATACCTTAACCTTCTTGCTTCACAATATCAACTAGGTCATTGTGTGATTCCCATCTCACAAATGACTTTTCTTCAAGATATAATAAATTCATGAATCACAGAGGAGAAACTGAACTATATGACCAAGGTTTGAAACCAAGGTATGGGTTGACTAGCCTGATGCCTAAGCTAACAGACTTTGTCTTTTAGGGAGGCTACCTAGTAGTCATGTCCATGCATGATTCCCAAATCATGCAGGACACCAGAAGGCAGGTTGGAAACAGGACTGAGATATGTGAGGTGGTGGATGTAGTCTGGAATCTAAGAGGAGGTAAAGTCTGGATGTCTTGCTGGACAGAATATACATAGGGTGGACAGGATAGGGGATCCAGGAATGAGTTGGATATGGGGTCCAGAAACAGGTCTGGAAAGTGTGGGAATATGATGGGATCTATGTCTAGCATATGGGATATGATACCAAGGCAAACTACTCCCCTCTGATTGTTGTCAAGGTTGCTGCACAATGAGACAAGTGGGTATATATTCCTTGAACTTGAATGTGTTAATTCTTAGGGTCTAATGATTTCTATGCAGGCATTGTATGTTGCTCACTGACTGAAAACAGCTAGTGAAAAGGTGAAACACATAAAGAATCCCAAACCATGGTTTGTGTGGTATTGTTTCTCTGCTATATGTCTCCTGGTGCTGATAAGAGCCTTGGTACTGATGAGACTTATTGTGGCACACTGCTATTTGTGTCATTGTATTCTAGCTCTTTTATTTTGCAGACAGCTTTCTGACCACTCCACTGATAATATCTGCATATACACATTGCCTTGCATCACATTCCCCTTTCTTTGAAGAAAGGGGATTGTCAGTGACAAGAATGCAGGGCCTTCATTTGCACTGGCTCAATTTTCATCCCATGTAGCAAGGGGTTTGGCAGGCATTTCCTTCATTTTTTCTTTCTGGTGCTCTGACAATGATTTAGATAATTACATGGCACAATATGACAGGATCACCATTTACTGGCTCCATATCTGCCTAGGTAAGAAATCCATCCAATCCCATGTCATGGTCAATACTGCCATGCATATCAAGTATTTCCTATATGAAGTTCAGTTAGTGCTCAAGGATGGAATGAAATAAAACACCTATGTTCATGCAATGCAATCATTGTTGACCTCAGTTCCACTCCACAATGAGAGAGAATTATCAGGAGACTCTTCTGAATAGCTGTTTGTCACTAGTGGGATTCAAAGCTGGCCTTGAAACTTCCCTGAAAGTGTTAACAAACATGCAAACTTTTTGGAACCCTAGCAGCGGGCATCGGAGTCTGAGATCAAAACTTCATGCTACATATGAATGATGCTCCCAATACACCTATCTGCTGTAAGATGTTCAGTATGTCTTCAATAGCTTTCTCAAACATCTGCTGATCTGAATATGAGCTAGCTCTAACTACCACCACAACCTACCACAACCATCACAGCCACTGCAACCTTCATGTTGCAGGGGGAGTGTGAGGGGTACCACTACTATGACTTATGAGAGGGGATGAGGAGGAGGTACCAATCATCCAGACCCCCCCCCCCCCCCAACATCAACATGCAGCAGATCTGAATAATGAAGATGCCACTATAACTCCTGGAGATGATACCAACTTTGCCCCTTCCAAGATCAGATGGGAGACTATCAATCATGATCACACTACCCCCCTTGTATCCTGGCTTGCTGTGCATTCACCTGACTGTCATGTACTCTTCTCAGACAACAAAAAGCAACATGACATGATGATTAGCACTAATCATCCTTCTGGCAGGAGTAAAGCTGAACTCTACCTTGTAATTGCCAAGCATATATTTGCCAATGACCCAGTATATGGGCCCCAGTATGCTGTAGAAGAGAATAAGCCAAAGTTTGGACAAGCTGTTGCCAATTGCCTCACATAGTATGTACTTTGTTCCTGTCTTGTCTGTACATACTAATGACAAAATCTTAGTCTCAGGGAGAAGTATAAGGCTGTGATTGCTTGGTTTGGGATGACTGGCACTAGTGTCAACCCTCTTGACCCTCAGGCTAAAGTAAATCTCTGAAGCAAGTTTTGTTTTAAATTATTTAAATTATCTTATCAGACTAGAAAAATCACAGCACAAGTAGCATCTGAATTTCCATGGTTCAAAGACCTTAATGCATTGTGAAAGGCCAACCCTGCCTTTTCTCCAAAGACCTTCTCCTTTGTCCATGGCAAAGATTGTGCTGGTGGCCTCCATATGCTAACATAACCTAAAGGCAAACCGATTGCCTCTTGCTCTGCAGTGTGCTCACAAGCAAAAGGGAAAGAGAGGGCTCTAGATTTTGATTCTGACAACCTCATGGATGATGACACTCCTCATGCTACTACCTCTAACCCTGATGAGATGAATCCTAATTCACACTCTAACTACCCAACCCTCCTGCTGATAGTACCCCACCTGCTACCTTTACTTAGGGCTATGACCCTGCACATGATGGCTATGACCCTACATATCACAACTATGACCCTGTGCCCAAAGAGTTTGACTACACAATGGGTGATGGAAATTGGGATGGTGGTGCTGAGAACTTGGAGATGGAAGAGAATAGCTATGGGGATCAGAGTAATACTTGGCAGTGTCTAAGCAACAAATGCCCATACCAAACATCCCCCTTACCACCCCCTACCTTCAAGCCAACAAATCATGCCTCTGAGTATGATTGTTGTGATGTAGCTTTCACTGGCAAGTCTCATGTCAGTCATGCCATAAATCATAGCCCCCCTTGTGCAAAAAACCAGCATCTATGGCATTCTCATCATCTAATACCCCCAGCTCATCCACACAGACATTCTTTTTATCATACTGTGTAGACTCACAGCCCTCATGCAGACAAAATCAGCACAAGTGCAACATTTCAGGGTGTATTCAATCAGGAATGTCAGATGTGCTTGACCAGGTGGGGTCTCTCACTGATGATATGAGTTATATCTACTCTGCAAAGGCAGCTTCCTCTGAGTATAAAATTGCCAAGGTCAATGCTCTCCGCTGTTAAGAATCATGCTCAAGGGAGAGAGTGAGTGACTCAGAGAGGCTTGGCCTCAGCTTGTATGCTGTGCCTCTTATCTAAGGATGTGCCCTTCATTTCAGATGAAGTCCAATAATGGTCTGATGAAGTCCAAAGGACTTCTGGAGGCTAGCTACTCTGGTGGAGTGCAGGAGGACTTCTGGAGGAGCATAGGAAACATCCAGAGGAGCATGGGAGAGTTCTGGAGGAGTACAGGAAATACTCAGAGGAGTTCCCACTGCACAGGAAGTGGAGAGACCCCAAAGCAATATCTCTATAGGAAACAGGGTGGAAGGATAGGAGGTCTGGAGGTCTGGAAGTATGAGGGACAGGAGGACAGGACATCCAGAGGTACAAGGGAATAGGGGTTATGTTGGATGAAGTCTGATGTAGAAACAAACAGAGGTAGACTACCCTAAGGTAGAGTCAGAGAGACAGGAATTGAACCTAAGTCTGGAAAGAGGGTAAGTGCTGGAAAGGCAAGGCTCTGGCCTAGGGAATCAATCCCTAGGCTGTTACAGTATCCTATTCTTTTTCTCACCATCACTATGAATACCCTATGACTATACTTCTAATGCTTTCTTTTCACCTTGCTGTTTCCTCATGGTCTCTCTTATCTTTGACTCATACTTTGTTTTCTCATGAACCTTCCTTTTTCAGTACTTGTTACCCCTTGCCCAGCTTGGTCTGTGCATGATTCCTTTACATATATAAACCCTAGTTACCACTTGTATTTTCTCTAACTTGAATCTACTCAGTTTTCTTTGATACTTGAGCTCTAGCTCCTTGGGAAGGAGGCTAGCCATTGTCCCATTTGAACTCTAGATCCTGTGGGAGTCTAGATGATTGCTCCTAAGGGAGGCATTGACTCGACAAGGTCTTATCCTTGGTTAACCCTGATCTTGATTCCTTTATTGGAATAATGCTCTATCCAAGTTTATAACATAGGCCTGATGGATAGGACCAAACTTAGGTGGACCAAAGCCCAGGAGAAGATTAGGCAAGTCTAAGTTGAGAGAACAGGAACTAAGATGATATTCAGACTGAGGACTCTACTGGAGTTGTACAGGGGTTATATACTAGAGAATATCCAAGAGGATCAGTAAGTAACAGAGTAAGGCTCTGTATGAGCATGTGGAAACACATTGGTAAGTAAGACAGAACATAAGTAAATGAACTTGGAGATGAAACTAATACAAGGATCAATCAGTAAGATGGAAGCAGAGATAACTGAGAACCGGAAAGGCACAGATGCCTAAATGGGGATAGGCACAGGATCTCGGATGGAGGGTGGGAATAGGTCCGGAGATAATAACAGTTAATATCCGGAGGTCTGGAGATCTGGGGATCTGGAAGGCAAGGTGGAAACAGGACTGAGATATGTGAGGTGGTGGATGTAGTCTGGAATCCAAGAGGAGGTAAAGTCCAGATGTCTTGCTGGACGGAATGTGCATATGGTGGACAGGATAGTGGTGTATAGATCAGGCTAGTAGTGAGGATCCAGAGCTCAGGGATAAATCTGTAGCAGAGCTAATCCTGCTGAGGTGTGGAGCACACAGCAGAAGGGGATCTGGGAATGAATTGCATATGGGGTCTGGGAATAGATCCAGAAAGTGTGGAAATATTATGGGATCTATGTCTGGCATATGGGATATGACATCCACCAAGAGTGCAATCTCCAGTTCTAACAAGAACAGGGTACAATAGAGTATAATGAAGCTGCTTCAGTGCACATGCAGTCACAGGAGGCAAAGGCACTTGAGCTTCATCTTCTTGAAGCACAGGCCAAAGTTCAGTCTGAGAAGGTGGCAGCCCTTTGCCTTAAAATCCAGTTGATCAACCTGAAAGAAGTATCTTCATCAAAGGGGAGTTCCTCATCTGCTTAATTTGTAATACATTTGTCTTTTGTTTGTGTCATGTTGATATGCACATCCCTAGTCTCATTGTTGTACATCCAGTATGCTATACATGTTTTATGTCCCTACTGTCACCTGTTGTGCCTTGTCTGCTCCTGCTCTGCCTGCCTCTGTCTCTCAAGTGTTATGAGCAAGTGGTTCATCAACCAACTGCAAGATGCTTGTCCAGGAGCTCCTGTGCATGTCATATCCCCAGCTCTGTCCTTACCAACATCCTCCTCCTCATGTCTCTCTACAGACTCATCCTGCCTCCTGGCCCAATCTGTAGTATCCATGCAATGCTGTTCCTCAAATTGGATGACCATATTGTGAAGGATCATGCAGCACTATTAAGATCACGTGCTCAAGGGATCAGATCACAAGGGCTTGGCCTCAGCTCATATGCTGTGCCCCTTTCCCAAGTATGTGCCCTTAATTTCTAGGGGCTAGAACAGTCATCTGGAGTTTCCAGGATTTGACTAGGGCAGTATGACAGTCAAGTTTTCCTTAGGCTTAGATTTACTTACTTTCATTACCTTTACCTACCCCCACTTTCTTTAGCTTATGTTCGCATTTTTGCAGCTTATATAAGCATTACCTCTTACCTTTCACTCTTTAACTGTAGTCTGAGACTAGCAGTTTGATGATGATGATTCTTCTCCTCTCTGAGCTCTGAGTCTAGTACAGAAACCCTTGTGGGTTGAATAGCAGCTAGGTACAGCACTTAAGACCCAACATATTGGCTGGGTACTTTACCAAGTATCTAGCCAAGTTGTGTTACTCACAGTGGACAATGGATGTCTGGATGTTACTTGGATAAGTGGATAAGACTAATCCAGATGAAGTCTGGACTAGAAACCAACAGAGGATAGACTACCCTAAGGTAGAGCCAGAGATGTAGTCTAGGATACAATCCTAAGACTCAGAATATGACAAGAGATTTGGCTTGAGTCCAGAGGACACAGGAATGAGCAGGAACTAAGATGATATTCAAACTGGAGTATTTCTGAGAGTTACAGGAAGTTTATAAACTGTAGGTATCATATAGGAATCAGTCACCAAACATAAAGGCTATGTATGAAGCATATGCAAAGTCTATTAGTAAGTAGGACAGATCACAAATAATAAATACTGGAAATGAAATGTATGTAACAGATCAATAATCAGAAGGGAAACATAGTTAACTGGAGTCCAGAGACAGGGGAAGTCTAAATGGGGTTGGGTGCTGATATAGGGTTTGGATTCCAGAAGGAAGATAAAGATAGATCAGATCATTGGAGATCTGGTGTGCAAACACAACAATGGCTAGACACTTGTTAATGTGCCTAACCAAAAATATTGTTGTAGGTTGATGCTCTGCCTAGCTGCTACACTTGCAAGCAAGAACGTTCGACCCTAAAGGGAATTGCTACTGAGAATGGCTGATGTTACTAAAGACCTGAAAGTGTGCAGAGCGCGGGTATGTAGAGCGCAGGAATGCGGAAGTGCAGTTGATGAGCGGTCGATGAGTGGTCAATGCAGAAGTGCAAGATGCTAGGGTAGGGAAGTCTTAAGGAATGGCACGGGTAACAAGTGAGGGCAAGGGTATTGATTGCATGGGTAAGGAAAGTCAAGGTAAGGTGTCCAGGTATAAGGTAACCAATAGGGGCTAAAAAGCGCACACTAATGGTGACTGCTTCTAAGTAAAACCTAAGGGAAGGAAATACTGCAGAAGGGAAGTAAATACGAAGTAGTCACCCTAGGCACTTTATACTAGCTAAACCCTCTTGGAAACGGAAGGGACAGGACAGACAGGCAGTAGGAATATGTAAAGACATGTAATAAGGCTGCAACACTTGTTACAACACACAAGGCAAGGCAAAATACGTACCAATGAGGTAGGATGGACAATGGACTGATGCGGGACATCTGTAAGGTAGTCCAAAGGCATGGGAAATCGACCGCAGTTATGCACGCAGTGCGGGAGTGAATGTGCAGGTCCACAGAGTGCGGGAATACACATCTGGAGTGGGTTGAGTGCGGGAAAAGTGGTCGATGGTTTTGTAGCTTTCCATCACTTATATCAAAGATGGCCATTGCAAGCCTAGTGGGAATATGATCGTCACACTGGATATCTGGAG